GTATTATTAGAGTAGTATTATAGTGTTATATATTTTGTAGTTTTGAGGTAAAAGTACTTTTGTGGGTCAGGGGACCAGAGGCGACCTGTGACATCATCCCCGTCGACCAATCGGGGCCGGAGCGTGGTGAGTGGGCGGGGCTCTCCCCCAGCAGACGCGCACAGGAGCGTAATTTAAATCCAAACACATCTGGACGCGCGCAGAGCGAACACACACACACACACACAGTCACTCACTCACTCACTCACTCACCCGCACACACGGGCTCAGCGGGAGACAGAGGGACAAGTGTCCGCTGCTGAGACACCGGAGTCCGGTCAAGTTGAAGAGGAGCTCGGTTCTCCAGAGCGCGGAGGTGTTGGTAGTTCGTGAAGGAGCAGGAGAAGGAGCAGAAGGAGAAGCAGGAGCAGAAGGAGAAGCAGGAGCAGAAGGAGAAGCAGGAGCAGGAGCAGGAGCAGGAGGAGCTGGAGAAGAAGGAGAAGGAGCAGGAGAAGAAGGAACAGGAGCAGGAGCAGGAGAAGCAGGAGAAGCAGGAGAAGTTTTCCTCTGGCCGCTGCACCAATGGAATGTTTCTCTTTCACCGGATTATCGCAGCTCTGAACTTCCAGACCGAGGCGGCTCCTCCGGGGCTCCGCTCTCTCCGCAGCCGCCCTCAGCGCCTCCTCTCCGGTCTCCTCCAGCTGCAGCGGTCGGTCCTATGAGCGCAGCGTTCAGCTCGTCCTTCATGGTGATGCAGCGGCCACTCGGAAGCACCACCGCCTTCAGCATCGACTCTCTGATCGGGGGGCCCCCGCAGCCCAGCCCGGGACACTTCGTCTACACCGGCTACCCGATGTTCATGCCGTACCGGTCGGTGGTGCTCCAGCCGCCGCCCCCGCCTCCTCCGGCCCTGCAGCAGGCTCTCCCCGCCGGACACCACCCGCAGATCCCCAGCCTGCAGAGCGGCTTCTGCTCCAGCCTGGCGCAGGGCCTGACGCAGGGCATGGCGCTCACCTCCACGCTCATGGCGTCGCTGCCCGGAGGGTTCTCCCCGTCCCAGCAGCACCAGGAGGCGGCCAGGAAGTTCGGCTCTCAGGCGCTTCACGCGGTCTTCGACAAGGCGCAGGAGCTGCGGCTGGAGGCGGAGGACGGGAAGAGTTTCCTGCAGAAGGAGTCGCTGCAGGGTTTCCACGACACGGAGCCGGTGCACACATCCACAGGTAGGTGGTCCTCGGTAACCCGGAGAACACACGCACGGTCCGGCTGCAGTCCGACGGGACGAGCGGAGGAGACACTTCATATTTCAGAGACAGAAAAAAACCACGGGTCATTTGTCCGTTAAATCTCGTTTTAAAGCGTCGTGAAGAATTTTAATTTTAATTTTAATTTAGAAAAAGGTTTTTATTATTGAGAAGAATCTGAATAAAGGAAAAAGATCGAATCTCGTTGATTTGAACAGAAACTAATTTAAATCTGATTCTCACATGATGAAGAAAGATTTAAACATTTGAGTTCGTGGCAGAAAAAACTGGATTTTTCTTTTTATTTCTTTTAATTTAAATATTAGAAAAACAATCTGAATTATGAATTAATCATTTCCTGGTTTTTATAAACTCTTTCTATCAATTTGAAATTAATGAATTTAAATATGTTCTGCTTCACTTTGATTAAAATCTACAAAACATTTTTTATCTTGAAAATAAATGAAATGATTCTGTTTGAATAAATATAAATCCGAGTTCCAGATAAATGGTGGAAACCTGTTCCTCTGCTGAATCTTTAATATCGGTGGTTTTATCCAGGAAGTTATTTATTGATCTCTAACAGGTTCATGATAAATCACGAGGCGCGTGTTCGTGGATTTATTCGTTGACAGACGCGGAGTCTCCGTTTCACAGAGGAGGCCGCGGCGGAGACCGCCGTGCGTAATTACGCGTGAAAAATAAAACTCCGTGGAGAGCGCGTGTTCCGCTCTGATCCAAACACTGATGTGATGATGATGGACACACACACGCACACACACACACACACGCACACACACACAGTTCATGTTTCCACTCAGCATCAATGCCATGTGAACTGAGTCCTCTCTTTGATAACGGGCCGCGTGTTGTTCTCTTGGTTGAAATGAAATCTTTTAATTTAAATGAATGAATGTCCGTGTGGTTCTAACGCTGCTGAACTGTGTCCCAGGCAGAGGACTCAGTAAAGACGACTCGAAAGACGAGGACAGCGGGCGGAAGGATGAGACTTTCTCCATGGACAGTGACTTGGACTACAGCTCCGATGACAACCTCACCTCCCTGAGCCATAAGGAGGACGGGGACGGAGGCGGCGGAGGTCTGGAGGACGCACCGCACCTGCACGGCTCCGGAGGCTCCGGAGCGGGCGGCGGCGGAGGAGGAGGAGGAGGAGGGAAGAACCGGCGGCGGAGGACGGCGTTCACCAGCGAGCAGCTGCTGGAGCTGGAGAAGGAGTTCCACTGCAAGAAGTACCTGTCGCTCACCGAGCGCTCGCAGATCGCGCACGCGCTCAAGCTGAGCGAGGTGCAGGTGAAGATCTGGTTCCAGAACCGACGCGCCAAGTGGAAGCGCGTCAAAGCCGGAAACGTGAACAACAAGTCCGGGGAACCGTCCCGGAACCCGAAGATCGTGGTGCCGATCCCCGTGCACGTGAGCCGCTTCGCCATCAGGAGTCAGCACCAGCAGATGGAGCAGAACAGACCGTAGAAGAAGGAGGAGGAGGAGGAGGAGGAGGAGGAGGAGGAGGAGAAGGAGGAGGAGGAGGAGAGCGCGTCCCGTGTTGATGCCTTTCATGGATCCTGTCAGAAATCATGTGGCAGCAGCTGGATTCACTGAGTCTGATTCACTGAGTCTGATTCACCTCCTGCAGGAGTTCATCCACCGGACTTTAAGTTTAAATCATTCAAATCCAATGTGATCCAGTGTGGACGAGTAACTACAGACACACTGAGACATCACTGAGACATTTCTCTGAGACATCTCACTGAGACATTTCACTGAGACATTTCACTGAGACATCTCACTGAGACATTTCTCTGAGACATCTCACTGAGACATCTCACTGANACATTTCACTGAGACATTTCTCTGAGACATCTCACTGAGACATCTCACTGAGACATTTCACTGAGACATTTCACTGAGACATTTCTCTGAGACATCTCACTGAGACATTTCTCTGAGACATTTCACTGAGACATCACTGAGACATTTCACTGAGACATTTCTCTGAGACATTTCACTGAGACGTCTCACTGAGACATTTCACTGAGACATTTCTCTGAGACATTTCACTGAGACGTCTCACTGAGACGTCTCACCGTCTCCCGGAGGACTCTCAATTAGAGACATGGACGTTTTCTGACAGATCACATTAACGAAGCTTTAATTACATTTCTGACTGCGACTCTTTAATTACGGCTCAAATGTCACGTGAGGTTTTTAAATTCAGCCTTTTCCTGACGCGGTCTGGTCTGAGCAGCTGAAGACACGCGGAGGAACCAGAGTCCAGCGGGACTCGGACAGTTTCAGGCCTTTGCTTCGTCTTTAGCAGAAAAATGTAAAATGTTTAAAGCGTCAACACGAGACAGAGACTCTGCAACCGGAAGTGTGTGTGCAGAAATAAAAGCGTCAGCGCAGAGGAGGAGGATGATGATGATGAAGAGTAAGAAGATGATGAAGAGACACCCCCCCCCCCTTGTAAATACACGCGGGACCAAACTGACCACATGACGTCATTTGAAACGTCGTTGACCCGGATCCGTTTTTTCAAAACTTTCCTCAAACTGCGTCACGTGGGTTTTGATTCTCTCTCTGGACAAAGCTGCTAATTAATTTATATGAGAGTGTGTGACGTCATGAACTAACAGTCCTGAGATGAAGGGGTGAATTAAAGCGGATGAACGGATGAACGGCTGCATGTGTCACTTTGTGCTGCTCTCACGTCGAAGGCCTGATTCTGCGCGAGGCCACAAACCTTCACCTGAGAATTCAGTGTCGATAGAAACTATTTATCAAATGTCTTTAATTTACAGAGAGGACACGAGGAACATGTCTCCAGGCTCAAATGTGTCTTTGATTTTACTTTGAGCTTTTTGTATTTATTTGATTTTAAACAAAGTGAATTAACTGTTCATTCCTCTGGTGTGTTATTTCATCACGTGACCTGTGGTTTTAGGTTTTCAGAGGAAAATAAGAATCAAACGCAGCGAATAAAACTTTAAAATCAAAGAGAAATAAGAGTTGAAATACCTGGAAGCTCAACCAGAGGACATGACGACCAACCAGAGGACATGACGACCAACCAGAGGACATGACGACCAACCAGAGGACATGACGACCAACCAGAGGACATGACGACCAACCAGAGGACATGACGCAGCAACACCTCATCACCACTGACCTGCTCACAGGAACCTGTCACACTGTGACGTCACGCAGCCTGCGAAACACACACACACACACACACACAGTTCGGACTTTCTCTCAGTGAAGTCTCAACGTGCACGCGCGTCCCGTCGTTCAATTGATGGTTAAACGTGTTTTAGTTTTTTTACGTTAAAGAATGACGAACACACCAAATTGGATTCTTTGAGACTGAATTTAAAGTTTTAAAATTAATAATAATAATAATAATTTTAATGTCTTAACGTTTTTAATAAATTAAACCAGACTTCAGTTCACTGAATTTAAAGTTTTTAAATTAATAAAAATAATAATAATAATTTTAATGTTTTAACGTTTTTAATAAATTAAACCAGACTTCAGTTCACTGAATTTAAAGTTTTTAAATTAATAAAAATAATAATAATAATTTTAATGTCTTAATGTTTTTAATAAAATAAACCAAACTTTAGTTCACTGAATTTAATGACAGATAATGCCCTGCTGCATTGTGGGAAATGTAGGAAGCAGTATTATAGGATCTTTGATTTTGACAATTTAAAAAAACAAACTAATAAAGTGTTGGTGTCACGACGTCATTTACCTGATGATGAATTTAACTGAGAGGACAGTGTGAGACTCACTCATGATTCTGTTCCACAGTCTGATGAGGCGCTCCTCCTCCTCCTGCTCCTCCTCCTTCTGCTCCTCCTCCTCCTCCTCTTGCTCCTCCTCCTCCCTACATGAACACAAATGATGAATCCTGACTGAGGCCAGAAAACCTCAGCGTCTTCTTCTTCTTCTTCTGTGGTGTCTCCTCTGCTGAGGGAAGACATGTCAACAAGGAGAAGACACAGATCTGCAGATTCTTTTATATCTAAATTAAAATTTAACCTCCGACAAATAAAAGCAGAAATAAAGTAAAACAATTTGTTTTCTAGTGAGTGAACATAGAACACACACACACACACACACAGTTAAACTGAGCTGAATATAAAAACCCACAGAAACAACAATGTTGAGGTGAATTCTCTCTCCTGCCGGAGGAATAAGAATAAATCACTGAGACGTGAGGAAATCTTACGAAGCATTATTCTCGTCTTTATTGAAAAGAGACACATGACAGTAGAAGACTCTGTATTAGGTAAAATTTTTCAACAACGGTACTGTACAGCCAACCAAAGTCAATAATAACAATAATAATAATTAGAATAACAAGAATGTGTCTGGATGATAAAGGATTCTAAGAAAACATGGATGGACTCGAAGGGTCAGAGAGAAAGGTACAAAAACATAGGTTAGAGTGGGCGGAGTCTTCCTCGCTAGGTGCGTTCATAAATAATGTGGTGGGCAGCCCGGGTGGGTGGGGCTTCAAGGTAAAGTCTACATGAGGTAACACAACCAGACAAACCAGATGTTGACCACACGGAGTCGATTTTTTTTCTTGGTTTTGTAGTTTGAAGTCTATGTACAGGTGATACGCGGGCGCACACGAGCAGCGATATTAGCGTCAACGCTGTTTCCTCGTTTACGCAGCGTCTTCCGAAACAGATTTATTTACACGCAGCTTCAGTCGTTCTAATCTAAAGCTTCAATCTTATGTGAGCTAACAGCTAGAAAATATACTGCAACACGCTAATGACCATTAGCTTAGTTTAGCTAACACACGCTAGCTGCACCTGGAGCTTCACAGGATGTTTTTAGTCTCAAAACATTTCTCAACTTTTCACGTTTGGTTTTAGTTTGAGGAAAACAAAGAGTTCGGTCACATGATTTGGGGAAAGTAAAGTGAAAGTAAAGTTAGAGTAAAGTTTGGATTGAAGAGGTTTCGTACGTCGGAAAAACATAAATCAGTTCAGAGAAAACTGCAGTTTCTACCGAATCAACGTGTGAAAGCAAATAAACAAGGAAACATTTCGTGTAGTGAAGAAAAAGCTGCGAGTGCATCAACACGCAGCTTCTGTTAGTAAACTAAGCTAACGGGTGCTAGCTGACGAGGTTTCAAGTCTGAAACTTTTTCAAATTGTCATGTTTGTGTCAAGTTTAAGAAATAATAATGTTTGCTAGCAAGTTGAATCTACGTTAATGCTAAAGTGCTAACAGCAGTTAGCTTCAGATGACGCAGTAGTTTCTGTACCTGAACACCATTAAAAACCAAGATGACCAAGGTTTCGGTGCCGCGACGAGATTAAACCAAGACTCTCGGATAACGTGAAGAGAACCAAACATCGAATCAAAACTGTCGTGTAGTTGTGCTAGCTGAGCTAACAGATGCTAACAGTTAGAGCTCGAACGGATGTTTTGATTCTCTAAACATTTTCTTGAAAACGGCTGAAACGTAAAGCTTTGATGATTTGTGCTGCCATGCTAGTTTGTTAGCTGCTAGCTGTAGTTAGCGTCATTGACGGTTAAAAACAAAGAGTTTTTCTTTCTTAAAGTCCAGAGCCTCAAAATAAAAAAGTGTAGTGGACAGAGTTGGTTGAAGACGGACTGAATCAGATTTAGTGCATTTCTGTCATAAATAAACAGACGTCTTTGTCTTCTGTCCTTCTGTAGGACAGACGAGGGACACCAGAACACAATAAAAAAAAACAGTTCGGCCCCTTAGTAAATACAACGCCATCTTTGAGATGACTTGTGGGAAATGGGGGCGTGGCACATACAGGAAGTTGGACGAAGTTGGGACGTCGAGGCCGAAGCGTAAAAAAAAAAAAAAAAGGCATAAAGAGGAAAATGTGGGCGTTGACGTTGATGACGGATTTTGTGTTGGATGTAAATATTGCAGCGAGGTCGGTGTTGAAGTTACGATGACGGACGAGAACGTAGAATATTGCTTGGATACAAAGTCGGGTTGAGTTTAAAGATCTAAAGATCACATGACGTTAAGGAGCTTCTTTCCTGATCGGTTCAGTCGACACGTTTTACATCCAGCTACGAAAAAAAACAAACTGTCACTTACATCGATGGTTTTTTTTTCTTTTTTACAATTTTGTCTAAATGTGAAAACACCTGAAATCAACTTTCAACATTCACAATTCATTGAAGATCTTTAAACCGGTGGGTTCGAACGTGTTGGCACCTGAATACGGAGACGTTGAGCGTCCGGACTTGAACTTATCGCATTTGCATTCTTGACTTGACGTCGTTTTATTGTGTAGTGTTTTTATTATTTATAATTTTCCTGAGCTTTTAAGTGACGTTCGTAAAGAACATAGTGTAATTTACCTCACAGCCCACTCGGGGGCGGTGTTTTCTGAAGTTAAGGGACCGCTGGTTTCCTGCTCTGGACGGATCAGAACGACACTGAACCAGAACACGCAACATTCAGTCAATGTGTGTTTGTTTGTTTTTACCGGCACACGGTAAGTACACGTGTTCTCTAATTTACATGACGAAAGACAGGAAGTGACAAAGAAAAGACAGGAAGAGGAAATTATATACAAGAAACAGGTTTCCAGAGAAAAGAAGAAGAATAAGCCCTTCTTAGTGATTCGCTGAGCAGATCAGGCAGAGCGTCTGATTGGACGACACAGAGGGAAGTCGCTGTGATGTCAACAGTTACAACAGATAAATATTTATACACAGAAACATTAAATTGTGACGTCCATGTTTCATCGTCGGATCAAAAAATAAAACCCCTGAAGAAGAAGAAACGGATCATTTCCCTTTTTGCTCCGTGCGACTTTTCTCTTCACAGCCGCGTCCTCGTCTTTTCCACTTTTTAAACCTTCAGGGAATCGAACCTTTGACCCGGACGTGAATCAGGTTTGAGTTTAAAACGATTCAGGAAGTGAAACCTGAAACGGTTTCATCCAGTCCTTCAGCAGGAAATAAAAGACGGATGAAACTTTTAAGATGATTTAGATAAAAAGGTTTTTTCTGTTTGAGGAATTGTGATTTTTAATGAAGTAAAAAATAAAACCAGTTCAGTCTGAACCCGAACAAATGAGGGAAAATGAGAATTTAGATTTTCCAGATGTGACCATTTGTTGTCGGGCTCCGAACTGAACGACGTAAAAACGTTTCAAACCGAAGTGACGCTTTAAAGACTCCCGGGGAAGATGGCGGGCGATGATGACGGACGGTCTCTGGTCCCTGAGCCTGACGAAGCGTCTGTACATTTTATACACCCAGAAAAACAGAAACGTCCCCGTCGCCATGACGACGCTTTGATGGACAGAATAATCTCAACCAGGGAGACGTCTGAAGAGGAAACGAGTCTAAGACATGCGATCTATCACTTTTTCTTTTTTCTCTCTAAGAACTCTTCGGATATTTGTGTTTTCACTTTCAAAGTTTTACATCAAGATATTTTTCACGTGAAATAAAAAAGACGGAGCGGCAGGAGGAGGCGGAGACTCGGGTGATGCGTGTTTGTGTTTCTCCCACGATTCCTCCGATTTTCTTCATCTCACTGAAGATATGTTTTGGCGGGAAAGAGGGCGTGGATTCTGATTGGCCGTTGAAAAGTCCTTCGAGGATTCTTGACTGACGGGAACTGGCCGTGTAGTGTGATGAGGTATGATGTCCGCAGAGCTTCAGGCCGCGCCCTGATCGGACGCCATAAGTCATGTGATTATTTCCCAAAGAGCTCTGATGAGCCAGTGACGAGCCACCTGTGGACCACAATTCCCAGCATGCTTTGGGTTTCTCTCCCTCCTCTCGCTGAGGTCTCCCCCAAACATGGCGTCACCTTTAAATCAGTCTTGACGAGCCGTCGGGTGAGGGGGGCGGGGCTTTAGAGTCACAACAGGTAGTGGTTCCCAAAATAAACGATGAGGATTCTCCCAAATGTGTGTTTGTGATTCGTCACGTGTCCGAACGCTGCGGTCATATGAGGGCGGTGCTGCCGCTGCTGCTGCAGCTGTTGTTGCGGTTGGTGTTGCGGCGGGACAGGTTGGGTGTGGCCATGAGCGGGAAGCGCTCGTCAGGACAGCCGTACTGAGCCAGCGTGTCCACGCACTCCTGGCTGTTGGCCTGCCGAGCGTACGCCATCGCACTGTTACCGTGGGCGTCCCTCGCCATCAGGTCCACGCCGTACTGGAGAGAAGGAAAGAGAGGGCGTCAGCTTCGGTGCTGTAATCTGATTACACATTAATCTGTTACCGCTCAACACGTCACTTCCTTCATTTGAGTCAAACTTCCTGCATGGACGTTTCACAATAAAAGACCTTTGCAGTTTTAGTCTCAGGAGCGACTCGTGCTTCTTACCCAGATCAGCAGCTGCGTGACGACCACGTTGCCCTTGCGGCTGGACAGGTGCATGGCGTTGCGTCCGTCTCCCTCTCCGCACGTCTCGTTGACCTGCTGGCGGGACCCGTGGGCGAGCAGCAGCACGACGGCGCGCAGGTCCTCCTCGGCCGTCGCCCTCAGCAGCTGCTGGCCCAGAGAGAGGTCGGTGCAGGGCAGCGACGCCAGGAACAGACGCTGCTCGTACTTCGCCCGGATCCAGCGCTCCCGCTCCTCCCTGACAGACGAGACACAGGGAAGGAGAGTTTCACACACTGACAGGAAGTGGATGACTTCAAAATAAAGCTTCCAAACATCAAGACAGGATCTGAGCTGTAACCGAGGAGACGCAGATAAGATGCGTCGGTCGTAAAGTAAAGAACGGTCGAACCAGGTTTGACTGAAACAACGTGAACGAAGGCGTCGAGACTCAGAATCAGTTTGATGAATTATTGTTTCTGTGGATTTTTGTGAAAAGTCAAAATCAACGCGGGTTTCGTTTGTTTCAGCGGCTGCAGCTGAAACAAACCGTCCTGCTGTCGACTGGCGGCGGCCGCAGGTTCTCCTGACGTCCAACAACTCACGGCCTTGAATTCTGTCTCTTTCTCCCCCTTCGGTGTAAAATAAGACACAGCGTGACAAAGAGGGACGGACGAGGGGACGTGGACACATTGTTCACAGATCGAGTGTCATGAACTGCTGATGTGTCTAATCCACAGATTTCATCGCTCTAATCTCTGCTGATCCCCCCCCCACATGTAAACAGCAGCTCATTCAGAGAGCAGGGATTAGAGAGGGAGGGGGGGAGGGACGACCCAGGGGAGAGATATTGAGCTGTCCCCCCCTCCTCTGCTCCCCTCAACAAAATAACCACAGCTCCTCCAGGAGGGACACACACACACACACACACACACACACACACACACACACACACACACACAC